TGCACTTTTTTTTTTTTTTTTTTTTTTTTTTTTTGTGCTAGGGATTGAACTCAGGAACTTGTGCTTTCCAGGCACGTGCTTATTCTATTGAGCTGTCTTCCCGGCCCTCTGATGCTAACATTTTATTCATTACTGTTACTTTAAGATAACTATCAATAAGTGTAAGCATAAATATCATTAAAAGCCACATATCTCTACAGCAAATTCCGAGTTGTTTTGGGAAGGATCATTAGCTATGACTACATACTCTGTCTGATATACTTGATAGGTACTATATGTTCTCAAATGAACTTAAACTTTTGTAATAATTTGTAGCAAATTTCTGGTGCATTGATAGTTGGAAAATATTATATGCAGTTGAGTGGCAAGACAATATGAGGTTTCAGCAATACTGCGCAATCAATCTGTTATTTACACAACAAAGATTTCCTTTATAGAATCCTCTTACAAATAGCAAGCTGGACTCTTGCTGTGGTGCTTACAGCACTTGCTCTGTTTTGCAGGAGACTCTTAGATGAGGGTGGTGTGAATGAGTAGATGTGCTACTTGGTCTGTCTTCTCAATGGAGTCTTGGGACTCTCTTATTTTTCTCTCTCCTGCACTTTCCTTCTACAACAAAGCTTCAGATTGCCTCACCAGTATGCATCATTTTTCCATTACACTTCTGGTGTAAAATCGAGTTTTACTTCTATTGAATAGTTTCTTTAAATTCTCAATTGACTGTCTTAAAAAAAAATCACTGAGTGCTTAAAAAAGGTCAAGAAAGAATTTCCCTAAAAATTAAAAGGCCGCTTTTTATTGAGTGGCATTTAAAGAAGAAAATTCTTTGAACTTTTTGGATAAGGGAAAGAAGTACAGATCTGTAGGCAATATGTTTTATTTTTAAAGGTGATGTAGGAGTATTATAAATTTAATAAACATCATGGAAATCTAATCTTGTGCTAGTAAAGAGAAAAAGTACCAGATTATGAGTAATTTAATCACCTCATCCTTCCTAGGAAGTGTGTATGTGTGTGTGTGTATATATATATATA